AAGAGTGGCATGTAGAAAGCTAGAGTGCCTGCAGCCTGGACCATGGAGAGGGGCTCGCTGAAGTTAGAGCGCCACCCGCCGGACATCTGGGGCTATAGACTGGCCGGACGCTTGCGGAAAAACATGGGCCATAGAGAGGAGCACTGTCTGAAACTAGAGCGTCGCTGATACCGTGGTCTCTCCTGCTCTCATGTCCGCTTGGACAAAAGAGGGGAGAAAAGGGGAGCTAGAGCGCCGCTCAGAGAAAGGCTATCGGCCTCCATCTTGTTTTTTAGGTGGGCCGGAAGGAACATACTGGAGGCCTTCGGCTTCTGGGTCCTATTGCGACCAAGATCTCCACGTTCTCGCTACGCACAAGTTCAGTCACAAGCTGGGATGAAATTCTGGTACCAACCCCTCCTGCTCGCTACCCAAAGTCTGCGAGCTGCTCTGTCAGGCCTAGCGATTAGCAAATAATGACCGGCAAGGGCCACCTCTGGCAAGGGGAGCTGACGACCATAGGCAAAGCCTTGAACCCTTCGCTCCGTTACTATGGAGACAGCATTCAGTTTACAAGTACTGTGTTTGTTTAGCAGCGACAGGCTCTTCGCTTCAGTTTAGCAACCCCAACGCCATTGCCTGAGGACTCGGCTTCGCTGAAAATTAACCTAAATTATAACTCGGGTGATGCCAGGATCGCCGTTAGAGATTTTTAGGGAGTCGGGAGAGGGGCAAGTTTAACGGATTCCATGGGCTAGACAGACACATGAACACTCTAGATTTTGATAGTAACTTAGAAATTATCTGACAGAAGCCCTGTATCTAATTTCTTTATAAAGAAAGAAAAATAAATATTAGATCTACTCAGCTCTAATACTAGTATGTTCTGTCATTTTTGTGTCAAGTCACTTAAGAAACTGGTTAGGTCTAAAATTTTAATGTATATTCCTATTTTGTTGCTAACTCTTGAATACAGCAATTGAAACAATTGTAGAAAAATTGATTTCTTTCTATCACTCTTTTGCAGGTCAAGATTGGAATAGATCATATTAACTTTTGGAAACATCCTACTAGGGCAGCAAGGGGCAAACTATGTTAGTGAGTGGGCCACATGATTGTCGTAAACAAGTCAGTCTCCCAGGATGGAGTAGTTTTGCTAACTGTACCTAGAATTTGCAGGGTGTGCCAATTGAACTGTAGCAGCACTTTGATTAGATGCAGAGGGAGTGCAAGGCTCTCTCAATGTTCTGTGCAATTAACATGCACCTGGCTTCAAAGTAGGAATAAGAGCCTCCGGAAAAGGGCGCTTTTTCCGGAGGATCGGGGCCAGTGTAGACGCTCTTTTCCGGCTTTTCTAAAAGCCGGAAAAAAGCGGCGGACATTTTTATTTAAATGCCGCGGGGGATATTTAAATCCCCCGCGGATTTCCCTACTACGATAGTTGAAATTAACATGCCCCTTCCGGAAAAGGGGCCAGTGTAGACGTAGCCAAGGATGTACACCAGAGACTTCTAAGATAACAGTTTGTAACATCTCTGCTACGAGCCTGCATCAAGAACTTGGTGATTGGAACATGTAATGTAGAGTCCTTAACAACCTTTTCTTTTTTTTGTTAATAAACCTTTAGATGCTAAAGGATTGGCCCAGTGGGTAAGATCTAAAGAGTAAATCGACCAGGGATCTGTGGCTGGTTCTTTGGGACTGGGAGAAGCCGTTTGGGGTAGGTGAGATAGGGTTCTATAAACCCTCACCTGTGTGTAAGACCTGGGACTGATTGTAGCACAGGGAGAACTGGGGTGTCTGAGGGGTTTTGCTCATGAGGCTTCCTGCTGGATAGATTGGCAGCTGAAACACTCAATGTGACTGGTTTGTGGCCTCTTTGGGAAAGGTCTTCAATCTAGGGCTGTAAGCAGCCCTGGTTTTGAGCAATTCACTCTGAGCGGATGCCCTCAGCGGTGCCCAGACCCAACATGGTCCATCATAGGTGGTTCAGTGGATCAGAAGCTACTCTGAGAGATTTGGGAGTCTACTTTCCCCAGAGACATCCTGTATGACCTTAGGCTAGTTAGTACTTTGGGGACAGAGTTTCAAGATTTTTAGGCACCCAAAGATGCAGCTAGGCATTTAGTGGAGTTTTCAAAGCACCTAATTTCTAGATGCTTTTGAAAATCCCATGAGGTGCCTAAATACCTTTCAAAATCTGGCCTTTAGTCTTTCAGTGCTTCAGTATATTACCTGATCAATGGGTATAAAATAACATTTCTGCTTTACCTTACTGAGGGGTTGTGTGGAGAAATAGGTTAGTGTGCAAGATTCAGATACTATGGTGATGGGGCCATAAAAGTACCACAGATAAATTTCTCTATACCATTGTTATCCCTTCCCTCGATTTTGGCCCCTTCTTTTCACTTACACCTCTCAAATCTCCCTCTTTTCTGAATGTAACTTTAGTTTAAAGGGCTTCTGAAATCCCTGCATTTTCTTTTAAAAAACCTGTCTTGCAGATTCCTGTTTTACAGGCTCACCTACGGGCTTATCTACACTGACAAATTACCGCACTGAAACTTTCTTGCTCAGGGTTATGAAAAATCACCCCCCTGAGCACAGCAAGTTTCAGTGCAGTAATTTGCCAGTGTAGACAGGCTCCCATTGCTGAGCCTGGCCTAAGGCAGAAATGTAAGAAAGTCTTGAAGACATGTTGCTATAATGTACTTTTGTCAGTGCTGTTTGGTGTTGGAGTGTGCAGGAGAATGTAATCAAACTAGTTTTGACAGGATGGCGGTCGGTTTCTAGTGGAGTGCCCCAAGGTTCGGTTCTAGGACCGGTTTTGTTCAATATCTTTATTAATGACCCGGATGAGGGGATGGATTGCACCCTCAGCAAGTTTGCAGATGACACTAAGCTGGGGGCAGAGGTAGATAGGCTTAAGGGCAGAGATAGGGTCCAGAATGACACAGACAAATTGGAGGATTGGGCCACAAGAAATCTGATGAGGTTCAACAAGGACAAGTGTAGAGTCCTGCACTTGGGACGGAAGAATCCCAAGCATAGTTACAAGCTGGGGACCAACCGGTTAAGTAGTAGTTCTGCAGAAAAGGACCTGAGGGTTACAGTGGATGAGAAGCTAGATATGAGTCAACAGTGTGCCCTTGTAGCCAAGAAGGCTAATGGCATATTAGGATGCATTAAGAGGAGCATTGCCAGCAGATCCAGAGATGTCATTATTCCCCTTTATTCGGCTCTGGTGAGGCCACATCTGGAGTATTGTGTCCAGTTCTGGGCCCCCCACTACAAAAAGGATGCGGACGCATTGGAGAGGGTCCAGCGGAGGGCAACCAAAATGATTAGGGGTCTGGAGCATATGACCTACGAGGAGAGGCTGAGGGACTTGGGTCTGTTTAGTCTGCAGAAGCGAAGAGTGAGGGGGGACTTGATAGCAGCCTTCAACTTCCTGAAGGGAGGTTCCAAAGAGGATGGAGAGAGGCTGTTCTCAGTAGTGACAGATGGCAGAACAAGGAGCAATGGTCTCAAGTTGTGGTGGGAGAGGTCCAGATTGGATATTAGGAAAAACTATTTTACTAGGAGGGTAGTGAAGCACTGGAATGGGTTACCTAGGGAAGTAGTGGAGTCTCCATCCCTAGAGGTGTTTTAAGTCTCGGCTTGACAAAGCCCTCGCCGGGTTGATTTAGTTGGAATTGGTCCTACCTAGAGCATAGGGCTGGACTTGATGACCTTCTGAGGTCTCTTCCAGTTCTATGATTCTATGAAAATTAGACATGTGAAAGTTGGAAGGAAGATTGAGTGCTGCACAGGTGTTCAGTCTTGGATCTATTGGAGGCAGCAAGGAGGGGCAGGCAGGTCCACAGAGATGGCATGTGAGAAGAGCTGGCTTAAATGCTGCCTCCCCATGCACATTAGTTCCTGCTTGACATCCCCCTCCCCGCTGCTGCCTCTGATAGAGGCAATAGCACTGGGGAAGGGAAGAGCGACTTGTGGGAAGTGATGCGGGTGGAGCTGGCTTAAAAGCCAGCATCACACATGCACCAGCTCCTGCCTGCCCCCTTTACCCTCTGTGCTGCAGCCCCTGCCGCAGAAGGTCTGTGGCGAGCTTGGGCCACCGCAGACAGAAACTGGTCCTCAGCAGCAGCCCCTGTCCATGGGGAGTCTGAGCTCTCCGAGGACAGGGGCTGCTATCGGAGCAGCCTCTGTTCACGGTGAGCCTGGGCTGCCGCGGACAGAGGCTGCTTCATGGCAGCCTCCTCCCCACCTCCTCCCAAAGCAGCTTCTATCCCCAGGGAGCTCGAAACCCCCATGGACAGAAGCTACTTCCACCCCACACTGCTGCCTCTGATACAGAGGCGGGCTCCCTCGGAGTGGGGCCACAGTTCACTGGCTGCCAGCCCTGCCCTCTGGAACTATAAAATAATCAACTAACCACTAAGAATTCATGCGGTTACTCAACTATTCTATTACTTATCTAACATCCCTGGTGAAAACTACTGCATCTGCTAATTAAGTCTAGACAAGTTAGACCAACCTACATGCAAGATAAATGATACTTCTATTGTGTAGACAGAGCTGTGTTGAAGAATAATCAGATTACATCTACACTACGAGTTTCTCAGCAAAAATATGCAAATGAGGGGCTCATTTGCATGAGTCATGATCTCTTGCATATTTTCTGCCGATCCGTTTTTGCGCTGGGGTTTTTGAGCAAAAAACAAGCAGTGTGGAAGTTTTCTTTTTGCGCAAAAAACCCTTTTCCCACAAGATTTTTTTGCTAAGAAAAATCAGCATAGATGTAAGCCCCAGTTCCTACTGCTAGTTTAAGCAGGGCCTTAAAGTTTAGTAAGGGACTTAATAGAGATATTAAAAAGCAGGTAATTGGGTAACTGTGTAACTGCTGAAAATCTCAGTGGTTACATAGTTACATGCTGCAGGCTCTGCAGTATAAAGCTTACACTGCAGAGCCCAGAGCACAGCCAGCTACCCAGGAGCAGAGCCAGCAGGCCCTACTCCCAGGGAGCCAGCTGCACTGCAGGCTCTTCATTATAAGCCTTTAAACCAGCTCCTGGTGCATACCAGCTCCCATCCCACTCGCAGGGAGCCAGCTGCTGCCCCATGCTGTAAGCTCTGATATAGAGCCAGCAGTGCAGAGTAGCAGTCGGCTCCTCAGGATCAGGGTGGGAACCTGCATATAACCATTCATGGTAACCGATAAGCCCAGGCTAAATGGTTATCCTGTTACATTCCTACTTAGTAGCAAGTGGTGCATCAGTTGCATTGTAACAGGATGGCAGAATGCCTAGAAGAGGTGCTCTGTTCCCAACTATGAAGATGGTGGGGGATAGTGCTTTTATCAAGCAGGACGTGGGCAGACATACATAAAGACATGCAGTTTCAGGAATTCACGTAAGATGCCATCATGTTTAACTCATTATGCTGATGATATAATAGTCAAAGAAAAGCCCACTAATTCCAAATAGAGACTGAACTCCTTTATTATTGCCTGTTTAGTAGAGATGCTGCAGTTTGCTTACGGTGCTCTCATCAACAGACATGCTGCCAGGTTTTCCTTCAGCAAACACCCCAGAAAGTTGATGGTAAGTGAATTTACACAAAGCACTTTCCTCATTTGAACTTGGCCTCATGTTCTCATGGGGAGGAGAGAGGAGAACTTTGTCAGTTTTGTTCAGATCCAGAATACAGAGAACCTATTGAGTCAAGGATTTAGAAAACAGCCCTCCCCTCCATATTTTTCAGAGTTTCTGTGTCCATATAAGGTAAATTCACTGCTATGGCCTCATAATTTAGCTGATTCCCCACCATTCAGATGAAGAAATTATAAGTGTGGGGAGAATTCAGCCATGTCAGAGAAATGCATGTGCTGCTGCAGAGGCCATTGTTTTTCATACAGATTCCTAGAAACTAGAGTTGCAGATCAGTATTTCCATTATGTTCTATTGTTGAATCCTTCTTTGACATTTTCTCCAAATACTCCACGGGCAAGGAAGCTAGGCAGATGCACTCTCTGGGTCCTGGTATTCCTGCCCGCACATGCTGATGTGACCAATGGGTTTAGGTTACCTGCAGCAGGTGGAGCAATGGTGAATAAAAGCAGACAGATCCAAAACAGCTTTTCATTAGAAAACCAAAGCTGCAAAGCCTAAGAAATTAGTCCAGTGTCACCTTCAAGGTCTGGGAACAAGCATAGGGGTATAGAAACAGATGAACCTTCTAACTGGTTTTAGAGTCTCCTGACACTTGATGGCTTAGTAGCAGGATCTATTGGGAATATCTGTAGCAGGGATTTAGAATCGAGGGGCTCCATAATCATCTGGCATTCTCTCAATATTATACCTGAAAGTGACAAAGAAAAAAAACTGTGAGTATAGAACACCTTGCTTGGAAAGCAGTCTCCTCCAGTAACTGTCTTGCCATCTTCCCCTTCAGCAAATGTGGAGAGGAGCCTAATGCTTTCATGCCCACAGCAAGCAGCTTCATAGAATTTTGACTTGCAGTCTGAATACTCAGGGAGGGTGAATACCCAGGGAGAGAAGCAGTAGCGGAACTGCAAAAAGATTTGGAGATGTCCCTACCAGTGTTCCAAACTCAAGACCTAGCTATTGGGGTACAAGCACCTTAAAAACACCCCTATGGGAGGAAACCAGCTTCCTACCAAGTTAGTACACAATAAATACTGTAACTCCTTTCAAGCATATGACCGAGTAGCATTGAAAGCACTTCTCACCCAAGTTGCATTCAAAGGCACAAAAGGATGACAGCAGAAGACACTTTGTGAGAGAAGTATTCAAAGCTACATTCCAGTTATGGATGTAGTAAGATTCTTTGACTTGCCTCAGATAATCTTGACACACTACTCCCCTGATATATCAGCAGACTCTTCTTCTCTTCACATAATCACCACTATTAATGCAAAGAGCTTTCTCTTTGCTTCCCTTAGCATATGGAATTGCTTCCTCTCCCTCTCTCACCTCCATTTCAAATCCCACCTGAAAACACCCTCTTCTCTGCCCAGACCTTGTTTTCTTTTCCCACCTCTATTTAACAGCTGATATGAAAAACAAAATAATTCAATGTCATGAACAAGATAATATTAAAATACTGAAGGTGACTTTTCTTTCTCTAGGTCCACTTTAGGAAGACTGGGATTGCTGCAAATCCTTGGAAATTTAGATTGTGTTAAGCAGATCCTGAAACATTTAACGTAACTTTAATTAAGCAAGCAGCGCCAAATGATGAATACTTGAAAAAATAAACTTCAAACTCACTACACCAATTTCTTTCAAAGTTTTGTTTTACATCAGAAATTAGGTCAGTCACTTATTTGCGTGCACTAAATTTGTGACGAGGTTATGAAAAACACCACTCCTCTAAAAAACGTCTGAGTGTGTTTTCCTGATACTTCAGAATTTAAAAAATGGAATTCCAAACTTAGATTACTAGGTATTCCTGTTACAACAGTGTACAGTTCCAGCATTTCTTCACATAGGCAGACTTCCTCTGATAAAGAATCAAAGACGCTACAGTTACAGGCATTATAGAAAACCTCAAGATAGAAAGACCAACGTGTTTCGGAATAAACTGCAAACAAATAGGAAGTCTATCGAAGTCAGTGTTGTGTCCTGCTACAGAGGTCTCCCACCTGTGGTTGGAAATGTACATGATAGGGACTCCTGGAATCTTCCGGATTCTCCGCTTAAGGTCTCTGTCCACGGTGGCCACTATGTAACACTTGTGCTGCAAGAAAGGGAGGCATGTCAGACTCTAGCAGTGAGCCAGCCCAGTGGAGAAGGATAAACATATGCTTTTGTACTCTTAGGCCTAACACTATAGGGCACAAATTTTAATATTGGGCATCACTAGAATATGATGCTATTCTTATTCATACAGAGCCCTACTACAGATTAGCTGTGCTCTTCTGCTAAATAAGAGACAGAAAGGCAAAGGGACTTGCCCAGTGTCACCCAGGACATCAGGGTAAGGCCAGTAATAGAATTCAGGTATTTGGGTTCCACCCCAATGCTCTGTCCACTAGGCAACACTGTCTCCCACCTGTAAGTCACCTGGACACTAAGGGTACGTCTAAACTACATGGCTCTGTCGACGGAGCCATGTAGATTTGTTGTTTTGGCAAAGACAAATGAAGCCGTGATTTAAATGATTGCGGCTTCATTTACATTTACATGGCTGCCGCGCTGAGCCGACAAACAGCTGATCAGCTGTTTGTCGGCTCAGCGCGGCAGCCATGTAAATGTAAATGAAGCCGCAATCATTTAAATCACGGCTTCATTTGTCTTTGCCAAAACAACAAATCTACATGGCTCCGTCGACAGAGCCATGTAGTTTAGACGTACCCTTAGTGTCCAGGTGACTTACAGGTGGGAGACAGTGTTGCCTAGTGGACAGAGCATTGGGGTGGAACCCAAATACCTGAATTCTATTACTGGCCTTACCCTGATGTCCTGGGTGACACTGGGCAAGTCCCTTTGCCTTTCTGTCTCTTATTTACCCCGTCTGTAAAATAGGGACAGTGATACTGACCTCCTAGGTAAAGTGCTTTGCAATCTACTGCAAAAAAACCAACCCTCCACAGGAAGCTGGTATTACCATCTTTATTGTTACTAAGGCTACTAGCCTGCAGGATGGAGAATTGAGGAAGGAACATCTCATCCCATATGCATTCCTTTAGACAGAATTGCACAATGAAGTACATGATGGGAGTGTTATATCTTTCTTTGAATTAAGTAATGTTACAGATTGGATACTGGATTAGAGGAACTTTGTCTGGCTCCTACAGCTTCTCAGCAGGCGATTTGATAGGTCATTAGCGTCTACAGGTGTTCAGCAAGTTTTCATGCCAACAATGCAGAAAAGGAACCCTTGGAATGGAAGATACCTGAGTGACCCTCTGTACTAAGCAGTCATCTGCATAGGTCCCTTTGTGTGTGCAAGGCAGGCGTTCAAATCGTGGGTCCTTAGCTATTCTGTGGAATTATAAAAGATGTCATTAGGAAGAGTACAAGGACAGTTAACTTATACAGATGCATCTTCATATTATACAGGTGTTTCACTCTGGGCAATTTCCAAACTTCAAGACCACAGCCAAGATCAGGGTCTAAAATATCTTCAGTTCAAAGGAGAGAGCAAGAAAGATAAAAAAGCACAAGATGGATTAACAAATATTGTTCATGTATTACTTTAGTATATATTGCAATAGCACCCAGAGACCACAGTCAGGATCAGGGCTCTATGCAAAATAGAAAAAGATAATTAGAAATGCAAGTTCTTTGAACAGTTCCTCTACAGACTCTCCATATCCTGTCCAGGTGGCAAGAACAAGCCTCAAACATAGCCAATGCCTTCTTGTGACAGATCCAGGAGTCCAGCTTCCTAGTTTGACCTTCCAAGCCATCTTTGAATAAAGCTCAAATCAATTTATATGTGTTGCTAGTGACTATAAATGGGTCTTCATGACTTCCCCCCCTTTACTGCTGTGGTCACTTAGAAGATGTAGACCACATATTTGCAGATTGCATCCCTGACAAGGGCTGGCTGGTTCTCTTATGGACTTGTCTACATAGATGGAATCATTATATAGATATCAGGGACAGGGATCATACTTCCCTCTACTACTTCATCTCAAAATGCTTTATCAATCTTGGAATGATTTCAAAATCCTGTGAAGTATGGATGTTGCAGTGGAAAGTCACAATTATTTCTTTTTTGTTCTACTGATGTACAAACCTCTGGAAACATCGCACTAAAAAGTTTCTCAACAATCATGCTAGCAAATACCACAAATGTACAGAAGCATGAAGATGGATTTTTTTAACCTAAGATACAAGAAGTATAAGCGAATATCTCATTCTAAGTGTGATCATTTAAATGGATAGAAGTCAGGAAATTCACAGTTACAGTTGGAACATCAGGGATCCAGCTGATGCAGGCTGAGGTCAGTCATCTTTTCTCCTGTAAGGATGAAGACCAGTTTTTTTTTTGCATCACCTGCTGATATTAAAAGGGATCAAGTTCATTTAAGAGCTCTCAGTGCAAGGACACAGTCAGCTATGGGTGACTCCATAGGACTTTACAAACAACTTTTCCCCTCAGTGTAGGGACTTCTAAATGCTCCCTTTTCATCAGGTTATCCGCAAAGAAAGAATAGCGTGCCAGTGGCAGAGATCTCACTATAAACACAACTGCTTTGGACAAAGATTTTTTTTTTTAAATATGGCTTGCAATTGTGGCAAAGGAGGTTTTTATCATTTTCCTACAAAATATTAAAGTGGTCTTGAGCAGCAGAACTGTCCAGGATGATGGAAAAACTGATGCATATCAACTATTTTCATTCACAAGAATCAAATGTTTCTCTCATGGTGGATTCCTCCAATTTAATTGAGACTGGACTGCTGCCTCCTTTGTGTCAGGCCTCTTGTGAATGATTTATGTTAAGGTCTTTGCCAAGGCTTGCTCACAATTACTGTAGATATACTGGCACTATGATTTGCACCATAATGACTACACTTTTTTAAATAAAAGCTTTTATTGTGCAGAAATTGATAGACCAAGAAGAGAAGCAAGACTTTCCATCCCAGCCCAAACCAAATCTTACTCTGGGAACAGAACTTTCCACTTCCCCTTGCCTATTTCAAATTCAACCATAATGGTTGCAACACTTTATATCAGCACAATATAGCACAATAGCACTTTATATCAGCAAAGTGCCTGAAGCAGCCAAGTGAACAGTTGGACTAAGGAATAGAGGAAGTGGGTCTGGCCCACGAAAGCTCATCATCTAATAAACCATCTTGTTAGTCTTTAAAGTGCTACATTGTCCTGCATTTTGCTTCAACTACCCCAGACTAACACGGCTACATTTCTATCACTAAGGAATAGAGTTAGTGTTCTGTGCCTACCTTAGTGCCACACGATATTTCTGCCCTAGCTTCTCAATTTCAGCCATCACGCAATCTGTGATACAAGGGATACCTGCAAAAACAGAATATAATTAATATTATTTGTTACCTGCATAGTACCTAAAGTGTGTTAACAAATTATGACAACGTGCTCTACAGAAAATACTAAGAAACTATCAAGAAGATACCCTGAACTGCTTACAGTTTCATTAAACATACAAAAAACTCATGAGGGGAGAGGGAAATAATTAAAAGCCAAGTAAACGAGCAGTTAGATGGGCATATCTTGTTAAGGTTATTGATCTTTTGGATGAATTTGGGATTTAAAATTGTTGGGTTTGATTTTTTATTTTGTCAAAATTAGTATTTAAGACTCACCTGATTATTAATTGCAAAGTTTAATGCAGATTAAGAATCCCAGGCTCACTGATCAATATTAAGCGCTCTTCATCCCTGTATACTTCCAGCAGCATAAATCCTTTTAACTGGACTTTTGTTACTTTAAGCAGAGTCATCCTGTCTATAGGATGGTCTGGAGACACTGCCCCATCTCCTGCACTTCAGGAGGATGCAGAGTCCAGGGTAGCCTGAGGAGTTAGCGGGTGCTCTGGTGCTAGCAGCAGTAAGCAACCCAGCCCCAGCCTGCCCTGCTGCACTATGTCACTTAGGGAGATGGTGGAAACCAAAAAGAGGCAGGGAATAGACATGAAAGAAGAGTTAAAATGGGGGCAAAGAGGGGGTGGAGCAGGAACTTGGGCGAAAAAGTGAAGTGGGGAAGAGCATGGTGTGGAGAGGGGTAGTTGTCCTAGGCCCTGCAACCTCCTAGGGACAGCCCTTACCTTAAGCTAGTTCCATGTAGGCTGGAAAGTGTTTGTGAGAGAGCGGAGAATTGTAGCAGGTAGGGATGTAACAGTATAACCATTTAAATGATTAACCAATATGCATGAGTTTATCAGTTACCTTAACGGTTAGATGCTGGCTCCCGGCATGCACTGGATCCCGGGAAGGCGACTCCCGCACTGCCCTGCTGCCTCCGATACAGAGGTAGCAAAGCAGAGTAGCAGCTGGCTCACTGTGAGCAGGGCAGCAGGCAGGAGTTGGTGCATGCCCCTTGCTGCAAGTTCCTCAAGAATGGAGCCAGCTGTGCTGCAAGTTCTGCAGTATAAACTTTATACTGTAGAGCCTGCAGCGTGTAACCACATAACCACTAAGATTTTCAACAGTTACATGGTTACCTAATGAAATACTGTTTAACATCCCAAGTTGAAGGCAAGAGCAGACCATGCGACACCAGGGCACCATGGTATTTCAGGAGAAACTCTTAACAGGAACAGATACTCACACTTGGCATAGAGACAGTCCATCATTGACTGTACCAAGTCCAGCTTGGCTTTAATGGAGAAGTTGATGAAGTTTGTATCAACCAGAATGTAATAGGGAGGACCCAACTGTGTGTTATACTGGAAGAACAAACAGGAAGGGTGCTGAGGGCTGTCAGGAAAGAAACAATTAAAATCAGTTACTTTAAACTGGCACTTCCAATGTATCAAGTCCTATGACCAGACCCATCTGCTAGGAAACATGCCCTGCCAGGAGCAGTCTTGAGATAATGCCTGGAGAGAAACAGGGTGGCAAGCAACCTCCTCCCCAGCTTCATAGTAGCACTTCCCACATTATACACATTAAGAGGCCAATGGGGGACAAGTTCCTATAACCTTTAGAACACTCCTGTAAGTGAAAGAGGGGGGAAATATTCTTGCAACTGCCCAAAACTGCCTCTTCTCTGCCCCCAAGTGCCAGGAAAGGCAAAGAGCTTCTTTACTCTCAAAAGATGTAAGGAAGAGTGCAGCTCCTTGGGTACTTACACCTCTCTTTCCTTGATTGCACTGGGATCATCCTTCTTTTTCACATTAGATTTTGCTCGTGCGCTCTCTTTGCTAAAGCAACAAAAAAATAAATTATGTTTGTCTGTGACAGTACATTAGTACAGAATACAGGAGAAAAATGGATCTAAGACTAAACCACAAATGTCCTAATGATGTAAAAAACAAAGGAGAAAAAAGGAACAGCTAAGAATGATATATGGGAGTAAAACAGGAAGTTTGAACTGAAATTATGAACATTTAGGTTAGTTGGCAGGAAGCCTCCTTGACAATGAAAACGACCAAACTGGGAAAAACATCTCATAAGGGAAGCAGGAAAAGGAAGCAAGCACCGGGGATTCTGAAAACGGAACAAGACACTGAAGAATATTCAACCATAATACATCTTGCATTGGCCTTCAGGTATTGACTAGGGGGAGGCTAAGCTTCTCTGTAGTTAAATCTCCAGTTTTATGAACTGGTGCCTGATAAACTGTCCCCTCTCCCCATGACTGGGAGGCTCACATGCGCTGGTCTCGGAGGCTGATCATGCGTTTCACAGTGGCGTATTTCCTCGCTTTCTTTTGTTTCCCCTAGAAAGAAACATTGTTAAAGAAGAGGAGGAAACACAGACACCCCCGAACCTGCCTCCCCAGTGACTCTCCTCCAACCTCTCCCCCGTCCCCAGCAAAGCATCTTCTCCACGTAGCCACCCCTGCAGCGCGCACCGCCCCACGGGGTGTCACACAATCCCCTGTGGCTCGGGGAACCAGGCGCGGGCCCCCCCGGAGGCAGCGGAGCCCCACAATCCCCGTCCGCGTGCCCGGAAGCAGAGCGCCGCCGACGGCTACTCACCATCCCGTTCCTCGCCCGGCTCGGCCCCGGCCCGGCCACCACGTTCCGGACACTTCCGGCGCGCGTCTCTCTCGTCACCGAGGACCAGCCGGCCGTGAGGCTCTGTCACTTCCGGCCAGAGCTTCGGAGTTGGGGGGCAGCGGGAGCCCGCGCTGGCCGCGCGCATTACCGGACCCCAGACCCGGAATCGCCGCCTGGGGTAATTCCCCTCAGGCCCCTGAGCCAAGGGCTGGGCCCGCGTCCCGGGGAGCCCCTGCGGGGGGAGGGACTCGTCCTTGGAATCTCCCGACCCGCCCGTGAGGAGGGGGGCGGCGGCGGCCCCCCGCCAGGCCTCGAGACCGGGTGGCAAAGGGCGGTCTGGAGCCTGTGAGACGCAGCGATCTCCGAGGGAGAACTTGGGGGCGGGGGTCTGCTTGCCCTTGGAGAGGCCGTGCCTGTGAGCCGGTATCCGGGACGGGGAGGAAGCCTCGTTACAGGGTCACGGCACCGGACAAGGAAGAGCGCCACAGCTAGGGGGGAGTCCAGCGCGAGCGCGGCATGGTGGACTTGTCAGCGGGTACCGAAGTGCGAGGACCTGGCGTCCCGCACCCACTCAATGATGGGAACCCAGCACAGGGCTTCCCAGTATATTTAGAGTTAAGCTCAATATATTTACGTTAAGCCTCTACCTAGGATGGGCTTTCACAGCGTGGCTGGGACTTGAGCCTCTGTCGGCCTGCTTGTCCCGCTGGTTGGTCAACGGGTCAGGTGTCGAGCATTATGCAGATATTCCCCACCGTCCTTGGATGACAAGTCATTTGTGATCATGTGAGGAAGTGCCTCCGCAGTGGAGCAAGAAATAATTTAGACCTATTCTGTATGGCATGGGAAGCTTAGTTATTTCTTTGTGTTTCTTTAGAGCCGTATAATCTTTCAGTTCTGGTTGCCATTTTGTGATCTCTGATTCTACATTTGAAAAAGTCTGCTTGCATTTTCCACCTCATTGTGGTTTGAAATATTTGCTGATGAAAAGGTGCTGTTTGACATCTGCATCTGTCTGTCTTTCATTTGTGTCTGTCCTCAGAGAGTGCTGTACTGTAATTTTTTCTTTAGTGATTTACATTATTATTTTGGCTAAGGTAAAATTGATTATTTAATTATTCTGTAGGTTAGACCTTTTTTGAGGTTTGGCTAGACTGCTGTATCTGCAGTGGAGTCATTGTCAGATTTGTTTTTTTCTTCTCTGGTGCTTTGTGGTGGGCAAAAAGTTTGTGACTTTTGCTGAAGTGCCTGCCAAACTTGTTCTTATTGTGTGTTGGTTAGTAAAAGGAAACTCTAGTTCTGTCTTGCAGCTGTGTGTTCCAATGGATGCATAACATTTGTTTGCAGAATTTATAAGGTTTCTATTGGGGTTTATTCCTCTTCAGTGAAAGTTGAAGATACAGGTGACCCCCATATTTTACTTTTCTTCTTATACAGTGGTTTGGATTGTTTTCAGATATTTTTAACAAAAAAATTAAGTGTATGTTTATGGGGGGCGGGGAGAGGGTAGTCTACATCTTAGTCTCAAAATTTGTTAGTGGTTTTGGAAGGGAAGCATACTCCCATTTCCCTTCTCTCTTTCTTTTCCATCCTGCCTCATTGCAAAATGGCGAGTAATTATATATCCCCTCTCATATGGAGCTGTTCTGCTTGGCTGTCTCTTGAAGGTGATGCGCTAGTATCTAAAGAACTTGTTTACTTGTGATTCTGCAGGGCCCTGGCTGCTCCAGTCCCTCATATAAAGGTGTTATCATCAACCATACTTCCTGATATTACCCCATTGCCTGTAGTCCTAACAAATGTACAGAACTTCATAGGGGATGCCAGCAGAGAGTGATGGCTAGTATGGTTGACACACCCCTTTTCTAGCCATCGGTCTTTTCCAAGACCTGTTAGACCACAAACAGGCTCATGGTAATATATCCCTAAGGGTCTATGAAATGAAGGGAGAGTTAAGCCTTGCTGTGGTGTCTCTTCTTCATGCACATCCTAGATTTGCTGTGGGCTTCGAGCTGATGGCGCCTTTCAGATGCGACCTAGTTCTACCTGATTTGCTGAGGTGATCATGAAGCATGATGAATACAAGCATCAGCACAGGCTGAGTTACAGCTGAGACACTTCTCCCCAAAGTACTTTCCTCAGCAGAACTGTAATAGAGGAGCTAGTGGTGCAGAAGAGAATCAAAGACTGGAAGGATAATTGGGATTGGTAAGTAAATGGGGGGAAGGTTGTTTAGAGAGGTCAACATATAGGCAGTTTTACCCAAATTAATTGTTAGCTGAAGGGATGCATTCTCCAGTGCTCATCTGAGTGACCTTGCTTTGGAGCTGGAGGGGTGAGCAGCAGTGGGAAGTATGTGTTCCACAATGAGCAATGTAGAGCAGTGGCTGAGGGTTATTTTTACTTACAGAGTGAATGAAGAAGGCTGACCTGCTGTATCTTTGTGGGGAGGTGAGGAGCGTATATGTACTGACATTGATTTAAGATCCTCTAGGGCCGTGGTCAACAGCCCGTCGATCGCGAGGGCTCGACCAGTTGATCGCGAGGCATTTGCCCCTTCCCCATTTCTCCCATCCCCGAGAAGCCCCACTATCTACCTCCAGCAACAATGGAGGTAGTGCCGGCTTCCTGCAGGGTAGACAGAAGTCCTGCAGCTGCATGCCACTTCCGGGGGTTCCAGAAGTGCGCTGTCTGCTCCCCTCCCCCACGTCTGTGGCGTGCTGGGAACTTGCGGGGGGGAGAGTCCCCAAAGGAGGCGCACTCCAGGGCTTCCCTGCCCTGCGGGAGGGGGGAGTTGGCCCCGGAGGAGGCACGCACTGAGGCTTCTCTCCTCTGCGGGGGAGGGGGGTTGACCCCAGAGGAGGAGCGCGGTGGGGCTTCCCTCCTCTGTGGGGGGGGAGGAGTCCTGGGAGGAGGTGGGTGCAGGGGACTCCCTGTCCCCCACTGGCACCCTGTCCCCACCCCAGCACCCTGTCCCCTGCTCCCACTGGCCCCCTGCCCTAGCACCCACTAGCTCCCTTCCCCAGTACCATGTCCTCTGCTCCCACCAGCACAGTTGGGACTGTTCCGCATCCAGGGATGCATTTGTTCTTCCGCTTTTTTTAGTGGAAGAGCAAACATGCTCTTTCGGTAATCCCTGTATTCCCCGTTCCACGAGGAATAAGGGGGCTTCTGAAAGAAAGGGTTTTTCTGATATTTGGTCCAGTCTAGACAGGCCAAATGTTGGAAAAACCTCTTCCTACAGAGATGGAGAGGAGGAGAATCGAGAGGGCGGGGCTTCAATGAAGGGTTGAGGTTTTGGGGGCAGGATGGGGCGGTAGATCTTGGCTTCTTCTGACATTTAAAAAGTGATCTTGGGTGTAAACAGGTTGGAGACCACTGCTCTAGGGAATAGAAAGAATGAGGAATCTTAGATTTTTGTCATTGATCTGGAATATTTTTCTCTCTCTCCCTTTTTCAAAGCCAACATTTCAACTGGATCTTGTTTAAAGTTTCCAATGGCATTTTCTAACTCTGAACAGTGTGTAACATAACTCTGTATGTATTGATCTTAGCCATCAGTGTGGTTTTCTGACCTTACTGCTTGATATTGTAACCTGCCCTGTGCTCTTGAGTTGACTCTTTTTCAAGACTAGGGATGTTAAATAACGTTTAATCAGCTAATCAACTAGTCAATGGAATTTCCATCAACTAGTCAATTAGTTGATGGGAAGAGGGGACTGCAGAACTTCAGTGGCGTTAGCTCCTGGCCCCAGGAGCTAACCTTGCTGCAGCTTTGCCTTTTAAAGATATTAAGAGCCACTAGGGGAGGCAGAGGTGTAGCAGGGGACTAGGCACAAGCCAGGAATCAGTTGTCCTGGCTCATGCCCAGTCCCCTGCTATGCCTCTGCCTCCCCTTGCACCTCCCAGAGATGGTGCTGGGGGTGAACTGGCTTTTAAGTTGGCTCCTGCCCCCCTTGCTGTCTCTCTCTGACAGAGGAAAAAGGGGGAGGAGTGACTAGTCAAGTCACTGGTTGACTAGTTGCTTAATCCCTATTCAGGACCATATTTTAAAATTAAGTGCATATGTGCAATTGCACTGATATCTTTGTGCACATTTCATTTTTGAGAAAATACTGGGTATTCTCACTCTAAAGAGAACCTTCTTATTGCATATGATCTGTCCACATGGTTACATATGCCACATAAGGTGTTCTGTTCACAAAGTTGTAGACATGTTCTTTCAGCTTGGTTTTTAAAATTTGAGGCAATACTATCCTGCAGAAATGATTCATGATCCATTTTTCATAAAAGTTGTTGGAATTGGAACAGGGACATAAATATCAGTGCAGTAACAAAATATGAAAGGATAATGCGTTCTATATAGTATGTGTCCCATATGGCTCTGCACCTGCAGTTAAGTTAATGTACCTGTGCTGGATAATGTTCCTCTTCTAGTTGCATTACACTTAAGTGCAGCTTCAAAAGCTTTGCTGCATGCTCTGCTGTCTCCATAGCAGTTCTCTCTTTGCTGCCATGCACTCCATCTTTGTTCTGCTAATAGTTTAGGAGGCAAATCTGTATTAGAGCTTCCAAATTCAAATGATTCCGTTAAGTGATAGGAGGCCATCACTTGCTGTGTCCTTGGATCAAGCATGTAAGGCCTGTAGGACAACTGGGTATTTTCTCTGCCTAGTAATGAGGTTGGCCCTCTCCAGAAAGGTTAGTTCCTCATCTTGTTAGATAGTAGCATTGACACTGCTTGATGCTCATCTAAAACAGCTCATTCCTTTTCTGAATAAAATAGATATTCTGGGTGCCAGCTAACCATGGGAGAACGCTTACCCCACAGCACACTGGCTGAGTAAGTGTCTTTAGGGCTTGTTTTAATATACATGCTAGAAGGAAGCTGGCTGTGAATGTGGCAATTCTCTTTTGTCTCTGCTGTCTATTTGACATGGCGCCTTGCCTGCCATTTCATGCTGAGGTAATGAAATAACTTGCTGCACTGATTGAAGGCGATAGCTTGTCAGACACAAGGAATTCTGAAATTCAAGATCAAATGGCCCATTTTTGCGTATGAATATAAGCAACTAGTCGAGTGAGTACTCAACTAGTCGCTTTCCCTCCTCCCCCCGCTGCCTCTGTATCAGAGGCAGCAAGGGGGTGGGAAGCAGGAGCCGGTGCTCGGAGGAGAGCCAACTTACAAGCTGGCTGCCCCCAGCATCATCTCTGTAGTGCAGGGACAGCGGGAGGAGAGGCAGAGCCGCAGCGGTCCTTAGGGTGGTGCAAGCAGGGACTATTCAGTCCTGGCTTATGCCACCCCCAGGAGCTTACCCCACTGTGGCTCTGCAGTTTAAATGTAGCAAGAGGCCCCTGGGAGCAGCGGGAGAAACTCCGTCGACTAATCAAGTAGTCAACGGAAATTCCATCAATTACTCAATTAGTTAATTAATTGATACCTAACATCCCTATTTTTATATTGACATCAAGCTCCTGGAGTGGGAACAAAGTGGATATTGTTCATTTGAAGGTTGCAGGTACCAAAATTAGAACAGACAGTAACTTTCAGCATGACTTGGGGAGTGGATGGTGTTATGGTCTGAGGTTGGGGTATCTTGTGCATACCAGCCCAAAGTGCCAGTTTTGTACTGAAGTTTTCACTGGGTGAGTGAGCTAATTTCGTTAGCTGTTAGTGAAATATTTCCTTGGATATTCAAAACACTTGAGAATTGCATAGTGATAAGAGTCCCTATGGAGTTTATAAGCTGCTTAGTAAGGGAGTGTGCTCCTTATTCAGAGGGTGAGGCACAAAGGGAGCAAGTACGAAGTAATATGAAGAAATGTGAAGGGGAGGAGGCAGGAATGTGTTGTTGTTTTTAAGCACATTTCAGTGTTAGAAATAGTTCTAGAAACTACATCCTGCTCTGTGTTCCTTCCTAGACTGCACTGCAGTTTCTAAACTGTTGATGCTGGTATGTGGGGAAAACCTTGTAACAGACTGGTTCAGTTGGAGCAAAGTTTGAAGCCAGCATTGAGGCCAGATGAATTAGCATCAACAAGAAGGGGTTTAAGGTGATATTACTAGTACATATGTGGACTGTTTGGGGTCAGAGCCATGAGTCAATTACCCAGCCCATGTCTCGGGCATTAGCTAGATCAAAATCAATGAGTATTAAGAATGGAGAATTTACAGGCGTTAAGCTATGTAGGGAGGAGATTGACAACTCATGGCCTAGGGATTACAGCTCTGTACTTTCAGCCAGGAAGGGAAGGATAAAATAGATGAGTGGGTGGGATTTTCTCTTAGACATGAGAGAGGAGGAGACAGTAAGAAACTGAGTTTTTCTGCAGCACATGTAAAAGACTGTGTACAGATTTGCCCATCTGTTCACATATGTAAGTGGAGAGTTTTGTGTCCTGAAGGCAGCAGGCTTTGTATTGTGGAGTTATGGGTAAGAGGTCATGGGGAGGTAGCAGGCATCCTGAAATAGACAATTTGAAAGAGAAGTGGTAAAGATGGCAGGTATCTTAACGTGCAGGATGGGGAAGAAGGAGGAGCAGGTCTCTTAGTGGAGTTCTTACTTTATACGCTATCAGACAGTTAGGTGATGTCATCTGTTTTGGGGGCACATTCCTAGTTTATTCCTGTCTCCTTCCTACACCTCTCCATTCTGAAAGAACATTTGTGACCTAGCGACGGGCACACCCTCTTGGGATGTTTCACATTCTCTATGCCAGAGGCCCCAAAACTGTGAAGCATCCATCTAGGCGGGCATGGAGGAACATTGGGGGCACAGGGCAGAGCTTGGCCAGCCTCCACAGCAGGCAGGGCAGGAACACTATCCAGTCCCACTACTCTCCCAGCTCTGCTTCAGCCCCAGTCTTAGCTGCAGCCCTTGCTCCCCAGCCTTGTCCCCAGCCACAGCCCCTTCTCCCCTCTGCTATGGCTGCAGTTGCACCCCTGGTCCTGACTCCCAGATCCACTCCCAGCCTCAACACTTAGCCCTGACCTCTTACTATCCCTCCCACAGGAGCCACTACTCACCCTATCCACACCTCCTCCCAAAAGGTAGGGCTGGGAGGGGGTGTGGATAGGGTAATGGGACTACAGCTATATGGGTTACACAGATTTTGTCTGTTATGGGGTTTGTCTTCAGACTAAATGAGAGATGTGCTGCTTTGCAGCTAAGTTTTAGCAGGGTAGACAGAGCTTAAAATGAAGTGTCTTGTGAAGCCACCTGATGTTAAGATCTGGGACATGTGTAATGTGGCAGCTTCAGAGAAATTTGTCCCATCTGTTTTGGGGCTCAGATTCCTTTTAAGGCATACTGCCATTGTATATAAATGTCTGTGCAGCTGAATAACCTTCACCGGGGATTGGTGTAGTCAGATTTTGCTGGACACCATGCCTTTCATTAGCTTTATCTCCACCTCTCTTTCTCTGAGCTGTTTATGTGGTGCCCAGTCCATAAAATTTACTCTTGTGTGGGAACTGAGTACTTGGCTGCCCTGCTGCTTTGCTGCACAGGGCAGCCTGTTAAATCTATTTAGGCTAGCAAAGATTATTTCCATTTTAGCCCTGTATATCTAAGCTGCAAAGTAAAATGAGACAAGGGTACATTTGAGAATGCTGGGAAATAGGAAAACCCATCACTTTACACGTGCAGTAGTGCTTTACATCAGCTAAACTTGTGGCAATGACATGGACTCAAGTGGGTGGGTTTTTTTTTTTTTAAATCTCTTTACAGGCTACCCTTTTCATCATGGATAAGTGTAACTGGTTTTCTTCTTGTTCCTTCCTAGGCTACTGAGCAACTTGTGACTGCAGAGTGCAAGAGTGCAGATTACCTCTTCACAGAGCTGGGGGATAAGTTGTTGTACTTGAGTCCCTTTCCTCCAGCTGTGAAACTGCAATGTGTGTTCCCTTCTGCTTTGTCCCTTCCTGCTGCCCCTTGCCCCACCTCTGGAGCCAAAAGGAAGGATGTGGAGGAATGAGTGTCCCCCTGTTGGCTTTTAGAACATGGGCACTTTTGTAAAGGTATGTGACTGCCATTGGCTAGAGAATTGGGAGGATTCACAGGGCTGGAAGGTGATCACCATCAGACAGGGAAATGTCTGGCCCAAATTTCCTATGTGGTGGTGACCTTTGCTGCTGTTGCTGTTATGACTGATAAGTAACTTCACCTCTTGCCTAGACTAACTGCAGGCACATTGTAATTCCTCACTTAATATGCATTAATGCGTGGAAATCTATTTCCACCTCTGGTTGTTGGACTAAGTATTATCTTCTGATAATACACAGTGATTCTTCCACTGCTTTAGGGACTCCTGAGCCACCAGCATACTCCTTGCAAAAACTGAGTGTATGATGTTTCCAATTTGTTGAATTGAGAAAAAAGATGTAGATGTACTTTCCTGTCTTGTTTCCCCCCTGTTGTTCAGCCTCAGAAGGGCCACATGTATTTTAGCCCTATGCTGGAGGGCTCATTTGGAAGAAGGGTGGTGGTGGCAGAGAAGAGATTTATGCTTCACGACAGCCGATTTATTCTGTAGTTTTTCTGCTGAGGCTTCCAACCTGAGACCTAGTTGCTACCAGCTATGGTGGTGCTTTTGTGATTTGCCTACATGACTTCTGAGACTGGACCTTAGATCCATGCAAACTCACTTCACAGACCCATCAAACAGATAGGAACTACAGGCAGTCCCCGGGTTACGTACAAGATAGGGACTGTAGGTTTGTTCTTAAGTTGAATTTGTATGTAAGTCGGAACTGGTACATATTGTAGGGGAAACTCTAGCCAAACATTTCTCCAGAGCTCAGTTTTATTCTCCCACACCTCACTTCCCTCAGTCCTTTATTCTCAAGCTGAGGTGTCTGCTGAGAAAAGCCGCTCCGCGTCTCCCTGGTCTGCTGGGGGGAAGCAGCTAGTGCGGGGTTGCCTCACCCCGTTTGTAAGTAGGGATCCGATATAAGTCGGATCCATGTAACCCGGGGACTGCCTATACTGTCAGTCACTAGTGTTGGAATTGGTGACCCAAGGGGAGTGGCCCTGTTGCTCAGTCCACAGTGTATTTGCACGTTCTCAACACTGTCTCTGAAGCTCATACTGCATTGTCTTTATTTCAGATACCACTAGTTCAGAACAAGAATCTGTGATGTAATTGTTCTTTATAGAAAACTGAGCTGATGGGGTTTTTCAAAGACTTTAGGTTTCATGTATGAGGGATCTCTTTAGGAAGAAGACCAATTTTTCTCAGCTTCCGCTGAAGCATATAATGTGTATATGGGGGAGGAAGAGATGGGAAATCCTGCTGCCCCTAAGCAGGGTCACTGGGTTTTTGTTGATGGGTGCTGTAGGATGTGTGCAGATTTGAGAAGGGATCACTGAACTAGCCATGGTCTGATTTGTGTTCTAGATGGAGCTGTGATCCTCAGCTGCGTGTCTTACAGAAGGGACCTGATGTTTTACGTTATTGGTAAGTGGTGAGGCAGCCTAACTTAATGCATCTTATAATAGGATTCTGAGGGTTTCCTTAAGTCTTATTCTGCCTTGGATGCTTTCATACTGGTTTAGGACAGGGGTGGACAAAATATGGCCCATCAGCCACATTCAGGCCACCAACCTGCCAGATCTGGTCTGTGGGAGACTTTGCCAGGCTCCCTGCCTGCTCCGCCCCCACACACCGCTCACAGTGGCTCTCTGAACACCATGAGCCTGTGGGGACGGAGAGAGGGAAGAGGCTTCACGTGGTGCCTCCACCCCCAGCAACATCTTGCAGTTCCCATTGTCTGGTTTCCAGCCAATGGGAGCTTCCTGAGCAGGGGCGTGGAAGGCAGGGACCCTGTGAGGCACTAGCTGGGCTGCTGGCTAGGAGCCATCCAGGTAAGTGTCTCCTGACCACAGCCTGTTTCTGGCACCTCAGCCCCTTCCTCCACGCAACTATCTGCCCCACTCCTGTGCCCCTACCTCATGAAACCCAAACGCTCCGCATCCCTGCTCCTGCACCTATACCGCTTTCCAGACCTTGCACCCTAATCCCCTACCCCCAGTCACAATCCAAATCCCTGAACCTCCGCCTGCATTCAGTCACATCCCGCTCCCAGACCCTGCATCCCTTTCCTATGCTGCTCCTCCAGGTCGCAACCCCTTCCTGCACCAGTGTCTCCTACCTCCAGGTCATAACCTCCTCCTTCACCCAGCCTGCCTCCCAGATCCCACACTCTGAGCCGCATCCCAATCCCTTACCCAAGCTCCCTTCTCTATCCAACCTCCATCACAAATCCTGCAACTCCTCCATTAATATCATGGAAAAGTGTAGTTCTTGACCACTTTATCAAATTCTTGGAGTACATCTCTCCCCCCCCCCATCAAAAATTATTGCCCGCCCCTGGTTTAGGGTCTGTCTAACAAACAGGAAGTTTTCTTGCCACATTGTTCTCCTCTTCAGCCCCAGGCAAACTCATCTCATTGACTTCACTCTTGCCTTGTCATTCCCTTTTTCCTTTATGGTCTAGTAGGGGTTTGTTTCTTTCATGATGCATGTCTGTCCAGTTCTAAAACACTTCAGGTGGTAGCTGTCTCATTGCATCCTTCAGTGGAATCTCAGTAGTTTTATGTAGGGTGTTCGTAGAAAACCACTCACAGATGTATCTAGACTCTCCTGTGCCATACTTCAGACTCTGGGCAACTACAACCATCTCCATTCAGTTCATAGTCACTTATAGATTGTAAAACCCAGCAACCTTTATCTAGTGTAATCTAGCATTATCTCCTGAATAAAACATGCCACAGAATTTCCCACAATAATTTCTGCATCCAGCCCATAACTTCTGGTTGAGTTAAAGTGTGTCCTGTAGAAAGACTCCAGTCTCAATGCAGGTGGGATCTCTGTGCTTTGCTGGACCATGCTGCCATAACCATCTTGTATTCTTTCTCTGCTGCAGGTGGGATCACAGTATCCGTTGTAGCCTTCTTCTTCACCATTAAGTTCCTCTTTGAGCTTGCCGCACGTGTAGTCAGCTTCCTCCAGCATGAGGACCGGGAGCGCCGAGGGGAGCGAACTATTTATGACTACGTGCGAGGCAACTACTTGGACCCCCGCTCCTGCAAAGTCTCCTGGGATTGGAAGGACCCCTATGAGGTGGGCCATAGCATGGCCTTCCGAGTGCATGTAAGGGAATGTTTCTGTCTCCACACAGATTGGGGGTTAGGAGCAGGGTTCCATCTCTAGGAGATGTAGGGGAAATCTCTTAATTGTTTGGTGGGCATTGAAGAGAGTGAGGTCCTCTCCTGTTTGTTTCTTACGTCATTTTCATGGTTGAGTTGAATATAGTGTTTATGTCTAACAAACTTTTTTCATGCTATGGGTGTCGTTGGCACAGACTAGGTCAACTATTGGGGTGAATGTCTCCTGTGTCACCTTCCTTTATGGTAATTGGTCCAGGGCACTACATAATTCTCTCTGGGGACAAATAGACAATACCTAGTAGTCTTCCTATAAAGATGCAGTTTTGCTTGCTTTTGGTGGGGGCTTGGTTGGTTTTGATCCTGTTCAGGATGCAAACTAACAATTCATGGAGCAATTGCCCTGAAACGTCTTCTTCTCAAGTAACTTTTTTGAATCCCAGCAGAATAAGTAATGGGGGGAGGGGAACCAGAGCTTAAAGGTACACGGTTCCCTCTTTCTCACTCTCTGGGAGAACACTGCCCATGCTATGGGGCTTTGTCCTGCATTTGTTTTCCCCTCGCTCCCTTGTTGAGGCAGGGCTCCATCCTGCCTTCTGTTGCAAGGTGGCTGGTTTCTTTCTCTACCTGTGTCCCGTATCTCTGCTGACCTGGGCTTCTCCATTCCCCATGCAGTTATTCTATAAGAATGGGCAGCCCTTCCCTGCTCATCGGCCTGTGGGGCTGCGAGTTCAAATCTGCCATGTGGAGCTAGCAATGGATATTCCTGTGACCCAGGAAGTCCTTCAGGAGCCTAATTCCAATGTGGCGAAAGTGGCCTTCACTGTGCGCAGGGCTGGGCGATATGAAATTACCATAAAGCTCGGCGGCTTGAATGTGGCCTACAGCCCCTACTACAAAGTGTTTCAGCCAGGTAAGGTCTAGGTGAATTGGTAGTGAACCTGAGTAGATATAGAGGTGTCAGTGACATCAAGGTATATGTTGGTAGCTGAGATAGAGATATATGGGGAGGGTTTGCCTCCTTTGCATTGTACTCTACATGTGCTATCCCAAGTAATAGAAAAAAATTAAAAACTACAAATAGTTTCGTAGCACCTTAAAGACTAACAAAACATGTAGATGGTATCGTGAGCTTTTGTGGGCGCAATCCACTTCTTCAGATGACACAAACCTCATGATACCATCTACATGTTTTGTTAATCTTCAAGGTGCTACTAGACTATTTGTTGTTGTTTAAGTTTTTGCTGTTACAGACTAACTCGGCTACCCTCTGAAGCCAAATAATATAGAGAGAGAGACTCTTGATTTAAGCAAGCTTGTAAGCAGCAAACATGGGAAAACAGAAGCTGCTATACTGTAGTACAGGCAGTCCCCGGGTTACGTACAAGATAGGGACTGTAGGTTTGTTCTTAAGTTGAATCTGTATGTAAGTCAGAACTGGCGTCAAGATTCACCCACTGTTGAAACTGATCAGCTTCAGCAGCGGCCGAATCTGGACGCCAGTTCCGACTTACATACAGATTCAACTTAAGAACAAACCTACAGTCCCTATCTTGTACGTAACCCGGGGACTGCCTGTAGCTTATTTCAAAAATTGGCACTGTCTACACAGCACTTATTTCAAGATAAATTGCTATTCCAAAACATCCCTTATTCATCATGGAATGAGGTTCATGGGGATGTCGGAATAGCGAGCCCATTATATTTCAGAATAATGGGCACATTCAAAAGCCATGGAATAGCTATTTCGGGATACCTCCAGTATCTAAAAATAGTGCTGCAGTATAGACATACACTTGGCCTAACCCAGTATGATGGTTCTTATGTTTACTGGTAAAATCCATAATGTGGACACAATTATACTGATGTCCCAAGTAACAAGGTTTTAGAATTTTTTGATAAGGGCCAGATTCTTATCTGATATAATTCCAGCACAACAGCTTTGATTTTGGTTGAGCTAAACATGAGCTGAAGATCTGACTCTGCATTAGAAACCAGTTTTGCAATCATTGTCCATGTAACTACATCTAATGTAGCATACTAAGTTTGAGTAAGAAAATTATAATTGAATAGGCCTGGGAGATAAGGCTCCCTTTATTGACTACTTTTGTGAGCTTGGCCAAGTTACAACTTGTCTGTGATTCATTTATCCATCTGTAATATGAGGATGATAATATATATTTCCAAAAGGAAGCTGCAAGGTTTAATATAAATGTTTGTAAACTGTTTGGAAACCTTCAAGTGCTAGGGTGAGAAATTAGCCCGTTAAAGTCAATGGGCCAGATCCCTATCTGATGAAAGTTAGTATAGCTATGGCTTTCTCGCCCCGGAGCTCGCAGGTAGCAATCCGCTACCTCGACCTCCGGGGCGAGAAAGCCCCGTTCGTAAGTGCGGATCCGACGTAAGTGTGGATCCGCGTAAGTCGGGGACTGCCTGTAGTAGCAGTGTGTGTCAGCCTATATAGCCATTGACACCATACCATTCTTTGTGGGTAACTTCATCCTGACCCAGCTAAATGGCCAGAGAATGCCTTTACACTCAAATATAGAGAATTATAATTGATATCTTAGCTATTGTTACTTCAAGTGCTATTTTGATTTGACCTGAATCCTCTTAGATCTTCTAAACTTTGCTTCATTGATTTCTTGCAGCAGTGATTTCCACAGATTTTTTTTATAAAAAGAAAAAAGGAAACTCTTCGACATAATTTATTTTTCTGTTTGATTCCAATCAGTATATTTTATACTCTGTGCATGTACTTCCATTAATAATTTTACAAATAAACACAATTCCAGATAAGTCTTGCCCCCTTTATTGCCTCCAAAAAAAAAGAGGTAATCCAAAACTTATTCAGTACCCTTCTGGCTAAAGCTTGCATAACTAGTTGAGTCTTACAGGTCAACTGATTTGTACTTTATTGGATCAGTTGTGCTATCATGATGGGAATGAGGACACTCATTTAAATAGATGCCTAATGAAGCCAAGAGTTAACCCTGTTCAGCATGCTGGGTCTCAATCTATGGCAAGCTTTTCCTTCCTCACAGCATGTATTTGAATTCTCAGTGCTTGGTTGCACTAGCTGCAGAGGTGGGAGAAATGTATTAAGAATTCATCTGTTCTTTGCAAGGCATAGTGCTTCTATGTTAGCTTTCTGTTGCTGTAACTAGGGCTGTCTCTGATTCTAAATTGTGTCTCTCTTTGTTTCAGGGATGGTGGTTCCCTCCAAGACCAAAATTGTCTGCCACTTTTCCACTCTGGTGCTGACCTGTGGGCAGCAACACACTTTGCAGATTGTCCCCAGAGATGAGTATGATAATCCCACCAGCAATTCTGTGTCCCTGGTAGATGAGCACAACTACAGCCTTTCCATCCATGAAGTGAGTTGGGTTGGGCTCCATCCCTCTCTCCCGTCTCCTCCTGATCTAGAGTGTTATCCTCTCCACTGTTGTTTTTCTGTCTTTTTCTAGCTGGGTCCCCAAGAGGAAGAGAGCTCTGATGTTTTGTTTGAGAAGTCTGTGACATCCAATCGACAGACTTGCCAAGTGTTCTTGCGTCTCACCCTGCACCGTAGAGGCTGTTTTCATGCTTGTATTGCCTACCAAAACCAGCCTATTAGCAATGGCGATTTTGACATTATTGTCCTAAGTGGTGAGTTGAGAGATGTTCGATGATCTAGTCCTACTGGATGCCATATGTTCCATTCAAGGAGAGCTGGTTTCTGTTTTAAAATTGGCTTCCCTCCATACCAGTCTCACTCAGTGATGATCATTCTTTTAAACATATTTAAATGAGGTGAATTCAGTGATGGTGGAGAAAACACTAGAGATAGACATTCCATATCCCTATAACATTTATCACACAGGAGTTGCCACCTCCTGCTTCTGAGGGGAACTTTTTAAAGATTGAGCCTTTGACTATGATGTATTCAGTCCTTTGCATTTAGGAGGTTAACAGTAGTTAAGAAAATTTTGGATATGCTTTGAGATCTACAAATTAAGAGTACTATATAACAGATGGTATTCTCATTCTTGATTATTTTGTGATGTGGATCTTTGTCCCACAAGGAGTAAGTTACCAGTTTATTTCACACAAGCTACTGAATGACTGTCATTTGATTATAGCTTTTGGTTACTACAGGCAGGAGTTAAATTAGAAGTGGCGCCCTAGAAATGAAAGGTTCTGTATTCCTTTTCTCTCGCCCCTCCTCCAAGACAGCCTGTCTCCCAGGCCTACAGTCAGACCTGATTTACTGATGCCCTGGAGGTGAAAGGCTCCATATCCCACTCTTGAACCTCCTTCGTTGTGGAGTCACTTTACCAGGTTCCCACTTAGCTGGTTAGACTTTTTGCTTAGTGCTGTTCTGTGAACTCTGAACTTAATGTGAGGTACTCAACTTCATTTCTTGGCTGTATCAGACTTGACATGTGTTCCATTTGTGTCTTTTAGAAAATGAAATGAACATTGTAGAACGTAATGTGTCCACATCAGGGGTCAGTATCTACTTTGAGGCCTATCTTTACAACTCTACTAGCTATGCCAATACACAGTGGCACCTCCCACCCATGCATCTGGGCTCCTCCCAGCGCCGTCTTTCTGCCACCACTGAAGATGAGGATGAAGACTCTCCATCTGACAGCCAAACTCCAGAGAAAGTGAAGAAACCTAAAAAAGTATATTGTTATGTGTCACCCAAGGTAAAGCCCACATGGTTACTGCTCTTCAGCTTTAGATTCAAATGTTCTGGCATTTCAGAGCTTGCCTTGCCCCTCTCTTTGGGCTCTGTTCCTAGACATATCAGACTTGGCTGGTAAAGTTTGTCTAAACTAAGTGTTTAAAATTGTTGTTTTAGATTCCCCAGGTATTTTCCCCCCTGAAGGATCCCAAGATGTTAAATTTAAAGGCAGGGAAGAATATAGTGGAAACCTGGTAGAGTGAAGATATGTGCCACAGAAGAGATGGAAACCTATTAGGTGTACTTGTCAAGGCTGACAATGCTTTAATTAAAGATGGGAAACCAGAGTAAAAGCTACATGTTAATAATATTCAGAGCTGATCCTAAATTGGGAGGAGCTGCAAACACCAGTGAGGGCAGAGATACACAAAGGGACCTAGTAAGAACAGGGGGTGAGAAAGGAGAATGCCAAGATTCAAAAGCAGCCTAAGGAGCCAACCAAGCTAATCAATGGGAGCGAGAAATCTGGAAAACAGGAACAACTAAGGGAAACCCAGAGGGAATAGACAGAAAATTTAGAGTTTGCAATTAAGTATCAGTAAAAAGACTGATACACTTTTTAGCATTACATATGTAGCAGCATCATATCACAGAGTAGGGTGATCTAACAGCCTCTCTCTGTCTGATCCTAATCTGTTGAAGTCAATGGGCATCTCTTCATTGACTTTAGTGCCCTCCTTTATGACTTTGGTGAAATCAGGCTTCAAGTTACTTCCATTTTGAGTACGTACAGGTCATGATCAGGAGGAAAATCAGAAAAAACAAGTCTGATCGGGAGCTAGGGAGAATGATTGATTTGGGAAGAAAGAATAGAAAATACAATCTGTTTAACAACAACTAAGGTAAAAGGATTAAAACAGTGGTCACCAACCAGTAGATTGGGATCTACCGGTAGGTCTTGGAGCCTCTGACAGGTGATCCTGACTGGTTTGGCAAGGAAGCTATCAAGTGCTGGCACTTCAGTTGCCTCTCCACACACTGTCAAGCTGCTCCTGCCCCTGCCTTGGAGCTTCCCCCCTGGAAGCCTCCTGTTTGCTGTGCAAGGTGTGGGAGGGAGAAGAGGGGGAGAGCATCCTTCCTCCACTCCTGTACTCTGTCTCCACACAGAGAGAAGGGGATGGAGGGAGTTTGGCGATGCAAGACGTGTGTGTGTGTTTGTCATTTTCACAAACATACACTGTCCTTCACACTCATCTCCCAACCCAACACATACTTAAGGGGTTGTTGTTCTTGTACTGCTTGCAAAGTGGGTTATTTTTGGTTTTTGACTGGTCTGTGCATTTCATAATTTTCATTTCTCTTATACTTAAATTTAATTCTTTTGAGTAGCGAGTTCTAAAATGCCTATCCTGTCATGGCTGGAGTCATTATTCCTGTGGTAATTGCTGTTCCTGGATGTGGCTGGCATGTTCCTGCAACCTCTGAGAAAGGCAGAGCATGGGGTCTCCATATGCTGTCCTTGCCTGCAGACACCACTCCTGCAGTTCCCATTGATCAATAATGGGGAACCGTGGCCAGTAGAAGCTGTGGGTTCAGTGTCTGTAGATGAGGGGCATTGGTGCCATTGAGCCATTGCTGTACATGCCAGCTGCTTTCAGGAGTGGTGCAGGGCCAGGGGATAAACCTGTCTTAATTCCACTGCTCCACCACCTGGAAGCTGTCTCAATTAAACATTAAGCCTGTTTCCTGGATCCCTGTCCTAGTCCTGAACCTTCTGCTGCACCTAACCTCCTTCCCAGAGCTTGCACCCTGAAATCCCTCCTGGACCCCAATCTCTCCCTGGGCTAAGACTGGAGACCCTCTCCTACTCCAAACCCCATGGCCCAAGACTAGCTCCGGCATCCCAAAACCAGAACCTGCTCCCCCAGCCTGGTGAAAGTGAGTGAGGATGGGGTAGGAAGGGGGATGGAGTGAGCAGGATGAGGCCTCGGAGAAGGGGTGGAGCAGGGGCAGGGCCTCAAAGAAGGGGCAGGAAAGGAAGTGGAGCAAGGGTATTTAGGTTTGAGGTAGATATTACATTACACTTACATAGGAAAAAACGTGTTCTTGTGGTTAAAAAGTTGAGAGAGCACTGGATTAAAAAAATATAAAAACCTAGAACAGAGAATGGTTATTTAGTTTAATATCCTGGAGCATAACTAGGAGAAATGGCAAAAAATTAAGAAAGGGGCAATGTAGATTTTACCATTGTAACCAGAATAATATTAACAGAAATCTTTGACTGTCCACTCCCTACAAAAACCCTTATCCTAAGTAGAATGTCTAGGGAAGCTAGTAAAGCAGAAAAGTTAGGCTAGTAGAGGCTTCGTTTTGCCAATCTATTAATTTGGGAGAGGTTCAGGTACTATAATAAAAGGTACCCATATAAAACCCTGACCCAGGAAAAATCTTCCTACAGAGAGATAAGGCTGTGAAACAGTTACCAAACAGTAGAGGGGAAGCCACATTGCTTGGGATAGTTAAGTCTACATTGGATGCAGCATTAGAAAATGTAGAAATGAGACTAATGTCTGAGGGGGAGTAACTCAATAGTGCTTCCACTCTGATTCTGAGAAAAAACTTTGGACTTTGATCAGGCTTCACTGATACATTTCCTGATATTGTAGATCATTCTGAATGCCTTTTATTATAGATACTGCTTGGGTTGGAAGAGAAGACCCTTGGATGTCTGTGTAAAATGTGCATTTCTTATGCATCCATAACTGTAATATTTTGGGTACCATATACAGGCAGTCCCCGGGTTACGTACAAGATAGGGACTGTAGGTTTGTTCTTAAGTTGAATTTGTATGTAAGTCGGAACTGGTACATATTGTAGGGGAAAACTCTAGCCAAACATTTCTCCAGAACTCAGTTTTATTCTCCCACACCTTACTTCCCTCAGTCCTTTATTCTCAAGCTGACGTGTCTGCTGAGAAAAGCCGCTCTGCGTCTCCCTGGTCTGCTGGGGTGGGGCGCTAGCTTCGCGTCTCCCTGGTCTGCTGGGGGGAAGCAGCTAGTGTGGGGTTGCCTCACCCCGTTTGTAAGTAGGGATCCGATGTAAGTTGGATCCATGTAACCCAGGGACTGCCTGTACATAAATGTAGAGCATTATTCCTGTCCAACAGATCCATGTTGTGCAGCCCAGCAGTTCCTTATATAGGGCTTTTCTCACTTAACTCATTGAAAATTGCTGCCATTCCTCAGCCATCTTTGCTAAATGAGGCTTGTGTAGAAGGGAGTCTTGTGTCGAACAGGAGTTAAAATTGGGGCTTAGCCTGTTCTACATTGAGAGAGAGATCCACAGTTGAGGGCCTTCTGCCAGAAATACTCTGCATCTTGAAGATAGCAAACAGGCCTGGTCACTCCCGGCTTCAACAGTTTCATTATTATTTGTTTGAATGTGATGTTCATGAAATGGAAGCAGTAACACCAATAATTTGGCCAGTGCATGATTACATTCCTCACAACTTCCTACTTCTGTCAGTGCATTGCAGTCCTGCCCAGTAACCTCCCTTGCTATTTGATTCCTGGCCTCCACTCTAAATTCCCACACACCAACTATCTTTTTAAAATATAAGGTTTCTGCACAACCTTATTTACTGCTATATTTCTCACGTCAGTGTGTCCTGGAGTTTCCCAGACAAATGTAACTATGAATTCCTTTTGTCGACTTGCTTACAATCACTCTTCTATCCCATATACAGGACTATGTAGCACTTTAAAGACTAACAAGATGGTTTATTAGCTGATGAGCTTTCGTGGGCCAGACCCACTTCCTCAGATCAAATAGTGGAAGAAAATTGTCACAACCATATATACCGAAGGATACAATTAAAAAAATGAACACATATGAAAAGGACAAATCAAATTTCAGAACAGAAGGAGGATGGGGGGGAAGGTAAATGTCTGTGAGCTAATGATATTAGAGGTGATAATTGGGGAAGCTATCTTTGTAATGGGTAAGGTAATTAGATTCCTTATTCAGACCCAAGTGTAAAGTGTTGAATTTATCTGGACGCATGGCCAAGAAACACTGGAGACATTCCACAGAGATTTCAACAACCTACACCTCACCATCAGTCTCAGCCTGGACCATTCTACACGAGAAATCCATTTCCTGGACACCACAGTACAAATCAGAAATGGAAAATTAGACACCACTCTCTACAGAAAACCCACTGACTCATACAGTTACCTACATGCTTCCAGCTCCCATCCAGAACACACAATACGATCCATCATCTATAGCCAATCCCTTCGATACAACCGCATCTGCTCTAATCCCACTGACAGAGACCAGAAACTTCAGGATCTCTACCAAGTATTTATAAACCTCAACTACCCACCCGGAGAAATAAAAAAGCAAATTGAAAGAACCAGACGAATACCTATAAACCATCTACTTCAAGACAAACCCAAGAAAACCAACAATACAACACCACTTGTCATCAGCTACAGTCCCCAACTTAAACCCGTCCAACACATTATCAATAAACTACAGCCCATACTGGAACAGGATATTAAACTCCGAGAGGCTCTGGGAGACAGACCCATAGTCTCCTATAGACAACCACCTAACCTCAAGATGATTCTTACCAACAACCACAG